AGTTTATATAGCAAAACAGCCAGCCATTGCACGGATAGGTGGCAAGCATCTATTAATTGAATTTACCTTGTAAAAGTTTAATTCAATATCAAGATGCCACCTATCAAAGAGAATAATAACCTTCCAGCACATTGAATATAATTTTGACAGGTGTTATGGACCATACAAATATCTCAAAAGAGAATATTATAGCTCAAGCATTCTAGAAGCATAGTACGTGTAACTCAAGTAAAACTGCTAGATACGAGGTGATCACTGAGGTGCTCACCCGAAACTACAGATAATTGACATAAGCGAAGGTTGTCACCTTAAGTAAAAGGTGATCAAACTGGAAGTCTATCTAACATTTATTGTGCTAGGCCAAGGTAAGAAAATCATACCAAAATTGAGAGTGGCCACTCTAGGTTCATAAGTTGACAAATAACTTACAATAGACATTACGAAAAACTACAATGATAAAGGGTTGAGTTGTCAATTAAAACCATCAGCAAATACAAAATTATCAACCTCAAGGGATTGGCCTAAACCTCAAAGAGGTTTGCTTTCTTCCTTGAGTTCATGAGTTCAAACCTTGGAGCCACCTACCATAATAATATTATAGTTTACTCGGTCCCTTTGGCTTGTAGGGTGTTCAATAGACCTTAAAGATTAGTTGGTGTGCGTGCAAGTTGGCCTGGACACCCCGATTACCAAAAAAAAGATTCAAAATTATCAGATTAATATTAATAACAAAGTACAGTAGAACCTCTCTATGGTGATACTCTATATAGGAATCACCTCTATGTAATCATAAAAAATTCTAGTCCCAACTTGGGCCAGTTATAAATAAGAATAAATTTCACATTATAATTTTTCTAGGTCCGGTCTTAAGGATCTTGCCTCTACATAGTAATAATTTTAGGTATATTGCAAAAAATATATGTTATGTTACATTAAAGGTTTAAGATGAAATAAAATATTTATTTAATTTGAGACAATGATTTATAATTTAGAGTTGTTACAATATTTTTTATCTTGCAAGTATGTAATAAGTCGCTAACATGGACACCTTCATATGAAGCCAGAATATTTCTAACACCTTCATGTTGAAGCCAGAATATTTCTAACTTCTCAAGCATGTTTAGAGCTTCTTGGCATGAAACTTTTGGTATGTTTTGGTATTTTTGTACAATCATCCTCAGGATTATCTCTTTCCTCTTTTTGTCTAATTTAGTAGTGATTTCTTCTTCAGTTAAAATATACACGATTTGTTGTTCATTTGAATGATTGAAGAAGACATTAATATATATTTGATTAGTATAGTAAAGTTGTCGAATCTGATCATTCAGTTAATTTGTACTACTAAAACATAAATTATAAAATAAAAAAAATAAAAAAATTGAATCAAAACAATAATTCTTGTAACTACACCTCTATTAAGTTATAACCTCCTTATAACAATAAATATAGTTAGTTGGCTCTACTGTATATGGAAGAAAAACAAATCTAACTAACACATCTTATTTTATTAGTTATCAACTGATTATTTTTATTTTTATTTCTTTGATAAAAATCTAAAATATCCTCTAACCTTGTTTTACATAACTGACATTAAATAAATAATTTATTATATATTATTCAAAATTATTTAATTTTATTTAAAAAAAAAAAAAAAAAACTCTCATCCTATTTGGTTATGTTAACTCTTAACCATTTTTCAATTATGGACCCCGCCACTCATGGATACGCTTGAGGAGCTCCATGACTTGCAAATCATCATCTGAGGCCTCTATCTTGACTCCATAGCCAGTCTTTTTCCCATTACAACACATGGTCCATATAGCTATTCTAACCATACCCGAGCCTTTTGCAAGATATTTGTTTGCTCAAGAACTATTTGGTGACCCCTTTAGTAAACGTTGATGATCCGAGAACAAGAAGGCCACATGAGAGAGAGGCAAACTCAACACACACACCCAAAGAGAGAGAAAGAAAGGACGGAGCTACGAATATTGGTCGTTAAGTTAGGTGTATAATTTATGTGTATAATTGAATATAAAAACATTGAGGCATTCTAGAAATATAATATGTTATTTTGGTTTAATTACTAAATTTAATTATCATAATATATACTGTGGAGGCACAACAATTTTAATGGTAGATATATAGAATTATAACTTCTTCTTGTGTATAGAACTATAACTTCTTCTCATATAATTCTCTTTTTCATTTCTCTGTGTGATCTTCAAGAAATAAAAGATATATGTTTCTTAATTTGATTAAATGTGATAACGATTTTTGCAAGAGAGAAAATGACTTAGTGGAATAAGATAGACATTAGATAGGTTCTAAGGTAGTGGTTTGAATCCATGAATAATAACTCTTGAATCCATGAGAAGATGTTAGTTCGACAACGAAATAACTCCAAAAGGAACCATTTGAGAAATTTTATTAATAATCCATTAATAATAAAATGTGCAATAACCGTATCAGAAATGACTCTCTAAAGAGAAAAAAAAAAAAATTAATCTTCATTACTTTTGTGATGTGGTGCATCAAATGTATTTAAGATTTCCTCTAATGTAGATACTCCCTCTCTTATTATTCTAAGGTACGTACATCGATGCATGCTAGACTTTTCCAAGAATAACATTTAACTTTATTATTAACCGACAAAATAAAAAAATAATTAATAAAATGGATAATTCTTTTTAGACTTAAAGGAAAGTGACACAAGTTTTACATATATCAATAAACATATTGTTCAAATTAGGAAATATAAATTCAGTTATAAAAATTCAGAACATTCAATGTATGAAGTCTCTTACAACAATGTCCAGCAATCAATATGTTTTGATTAAGAATTTTATTTTTAAAAACCCAATTATTGAAATTTTTAGTTATAAAAAATTTACTTCAAACGCCTGTTTTCAGGGAAGACTTTCTTATTGAAATGAGGATTAATTATATTCTTTTCAATTTGTGCTTAATTTATTTATTTACATCGAATTACGTATGTGTATAATTGAAAGGGATATTATTTAAATACCCCAAAAATTTAAAAACAAAATTAAATAAACAAATTATTGTTTACATGGATAATTTTACAAGTTTGGAGTTTATTACACACTAAACAATAAAACAAGTTTGCTCATATCCCCAATACACGTTACAAACATGAAAATCCTAAAATTTTCATGTCAAGGGATGTGTCATGTTATATGACTTTAATTTTCAAATTAAGAGTTTATGTGGTAGGTCATGTTATACACATAAAATGAACTATCACTTTGTATGAGACATTTTGAATTTTATTTGGGAATAGCATTAATCGTTTTCAAAACCAAGTATTGTTAAATGATAGAAGGTAGATGATATAATTCATGATGGAAGTTGGATAAAAGAGAAAATTTGGTATATATATGATAACACATGTTATGCTGTTAGACAATCTCATCGTACCAGTAACATGATCTAGTGAGACTGTCACATTTCAGTATTATAAATAAATAAATAAATAGATACCAACACGCAGATTCACAATAAAGGGTTTGGTTGTCAAGATCGATTTTAATAGAACAATGTGAGATTCTAAGGCTTTATTCATTTTATTTAGTTCCTCGAGAATATCATATTAATGCAAAGAGTGGAAATAGAATCGGATGACAGAATATTATATAAAGTTAATTGGAGTATGAAATGACAGAGCTAATATAAACTTTTTTGGAATAATGAAATAAAGAGGTGGTGAGTGGAAGGAGGAATGAAAGAGCATTAGTTTTTTTCTTCCTTCCATTTTAATTTCTTTTATATTTTTATGCAAAGTGAACAACAAAAACAAAAAGTTGAAATCAACATCCAACTACAAAATATGAAAGCCGTAAATTATGAGGTTTTGCTTTACACTTAAGATTCAACTTTCTATTTATAATAAAAATGTGCAATCACTCATCTCTATTATTTTGATGTATGCACATCGGCTGATGTTAGACTTTTCAAGAATCAAAAAATATATTGTGTCTGAATGTTTTCTTCCAGAATTTTCAAATTGTTTAAAAAATTTTGTCTGGTTCTTTACATAATCTGATGTTAAGAAAGGGAAATGATATTTACCTCGTTATTAGGAAAGAAAATGCAGTATAACATTTTTGAGTAGAATATATAAATATACTTCTTCCTTATAATTCTCTTTTTCATTTCTCTATGTGATCTTCGAGAAATAAAAGATATATGTTTCCTAATTTGATTAAATGTAATAATATGTTTGCAAGAGAGAATGGCGTAGCGGAATAGGATAGACACTAGATACGTTTTAGCATGCACTTTGAATCCACCATACAACTCCCGAATCCATGAGAAGATCATAACTTCAAATGAACCATTTGAGAAATTTTATTATAATCCATTGATAATTGTTTATAGGATAACAAACTTATTTTTGTAAACTAACCCAGAAAACAAAACCGTTCTAAATTAACTCAAATCTTAATTAATTAGAAACCAAATAAGAAAAAAGAAATAAAATAAAATCCTAATAAATGATTTATCAACACTAATACATCAGAAAAACATTCTTTTTTTGTTTTTCAACCAAAGTGTTAGAATCAATTTACGCATACCTCGACTATCCTTGAGGAGACTAGTACAACACCTACCAATATAACCCCCCACTTAAATCACAGATGTTCAGATGAGAAATTAAATCTGATACCGTACGCATATCCATATTATCCTTAATTCGTCCTAACCATCTGGACAATCTAAGATGGTTTCAAAAAAACTATACATTCCCATTTTTTTTTTTTTTTTAAATTTACCAACTTTTAACAAATGATTTATCAACCACTACAAATATATAAAAAAAAAAAAAAAAAAGCAAAATCAAACTTGTACTAAAAACAGTAGAATTTGTCTTTTAATGTAAAAATGTTTATAACAAATATTTATTGCGGATCAAACTAGGTACATGAAAAAATATAGATATATAAAATTACGTGTCCAAACTTCCAAAACATGAAGCCAAGAGGAACATTAATTTTGCAAGCATCCTTAGAGTAGTAGGATGCTACGATTTTTCACATAATCCTGAAAATGGTATACGACACAAAAGATAAAGTAATCAACCCAATAACATTACACTTAATCGATGTAAAAGAGTGAGAAAAATATTTTCTTACCGTGAATCTGTCTTTCAAAGACGAAAAGGGATCCTCTGAATCCTCAAAGAAAATGAATTTCAACTTCTTTAGCAACCTAAATTTCATCATACATCAAATAAAAGTAACTCGATTAGAAGCACTTTAAATTAGTAAGAGAATTTTATGATTATCAATATAACATCCTTTTAAGTCGTTAATCTTTGCTGATTTAATAATGACATCTCTGGTCCAGTTCAGGTTCAGGGGGGTTCTACTATATTTCAAACCTATGGACTAAATTAAATTTTATAGGGGTATTTTTATAATGATTCAAATATTAGGGACTAATAAATTTGGGCATTTTTGCAATAAATTAATATTTCAGGATTAATTTCAATTTTGGGGTATTTGTACAATATACTAAAATTTAAGGAACATTTGTAAAAAATTTACAACATCATTGTTGCTGACATCATCGTCCAATCATTGGACCAGTCGGGACACAGTCAGTTGGATCAACAGAGATGAATGTTTCATCACCGGTCGGGACCCATCAGTTGGTCAACAGAGATGAATGTTTCATCAGGAAAGTCAAAAAATTAAGTCATCCTATATATAGACTTAATTTAGCAGCCTACATTTCATCAAACATAGAATAAATTAACTAATTGGAAATATCGAATATGTTAGAGCATGTTAGTGGTTATGAAGGGATCACAGTGAAGTTTCAATTTGACAGCCTCTATAGAGCGGTTGGTCAAGCCGAAAAACCTGGCTAAATTTTGAAAAAGTTTTTTGAACTTTTTATCATTTTTCCATTTCTTTCTATTTGTCTTTATTTTTTCTTTGCAATAATTTTTTTTTTTTTAAATTTGCTAGTTTATTTTAATTTTTAATTAACTTAACTTATGTTCATTAAGTACCCAATTAAGTTCGTTTTCTCTTGAATCAAAATGGATAAGGGAAAAAAATTATATATAAACATGGATTTCATACCTTTTCGACCAAGAAGGGGAATCCTTCCACTCCTTAAATATAATGTAAAGCCAAAATAGACGGAGAAGAGTGCTACTATTCTTAGCATCAAATCAAGTGTTGATCTTCCTGCCATGTGATATATTTCTTTTGATTAATTTGGAATTTCGAAATTGCAAAAGAAATTATGTAAATCGGCAACATAAAGAACTGCTCTAATACCATATTGAGAAATAGAAAACGTATACAAAACTAAAGAATTTGAATCATAGTAATACATTTTCATTACAAGAATAGTTTTATTTTGCTGACCCATAATAAAGTACTTCTAAAACCTTATTAAATATAAGTATTTATTTATATATTATCTTGTAATATGACTTACGTGATACTGCTAAAAAGATTACTGCATCAATTATATCTTAATAAAACAATAAGGAGATATTTTCTAACCTATAATGTTGGACTATGCTAAACGATACTAAACTTGATAGTCTAACTTTAAGTATGATTTAGCAATTTGATTAAAATATGCTAGATTTAGTACTGTATAGGAAAATTCTCTAACCAAAATTAACTACTAACCTCTGACTTTAAGCCGAATTGATAAGCTGCAAAGCCATGCAGACTGAGAAAAAGATTAAAGAGAAAATTAACAAATGAGAACCACAGCAGATTGTGTATTAATTACAAATACTAGACGATTTTATTTACCTGCTGCCCTCAAAATGGCATTTCTGATCGTCTATGTATTCCAGTATGAAAGATTCCAATAGAAATGGTTCCAAACAAAACAGAAATGATCCTGCACATTATTTCTGAGTGCTTTTGCAAATAGTGAATCCTCAAAAACACTTCATGCAGAAGCCTCTCAAATGCACCACCTGAAACGATATTCATCACTAAATTCTTGAAATTCTCTGTGAAGAATCACTTGATTGGTCCTTAAAGCATTTACAAGTGCTTTTACAATTAGCAAAATGACCTTGAAACCTGTACACTCATCACTTAAATCCAGATATTCCTAATTAAAACTATGTAACTCAATATCTCAATTTCGAAACAAATATGTAAAAGAAACCAGAACCAGAGCACTAAATCAACAACATTGGCAGCAATCCACATCAAACCCATTCTCATCTCACCACAGAAAACTGGTTTTCAGGGCGTAGAACATGTCAGAGAACCAAGTCCTCGTCCCACTAGAATTCCCCGTTGTTCGATGGTGTCTAATTACATAATAAAGATTATGATTGGACAGTCTCATCATGCCAGTAAAGTAAGGTGTTAATGTTTTGACATATGTATTTCTCCAATTTCAGATTCACTCTGTCACATGATTTAACATACATATATGCAAAAGATTAACAGACAGATCAAACCAAACCTCCAAGATAATTTTAAGTGGATCACAGCCAAAGTAATCCACATAATGGATCGCATTTGATGTCTTCTTTCTGCAAGAAATCCCAACAAAATATTGATGTTTTAAGTGAAGCACGGTGAGAATAAATGGCCCAGCATCGATGGAAGAATGTAAATAATGAATTCACAGTATTCAAAACACTTACCTTTTCCTTTGGATTCTTTGTGTAATTGTTGTATAGTTATGTTGAGATCATCCTTCCAATACCTTTCATTATGCTTGGATTTCTTTATGTTCCGTAAATTTGGTGCTGTTACCTTGCCTTCACAGAAAGTTTTCATCTTGCGACAATTATTCACTTTTAATTCCATCAAAGATGGGAAGTTGAACTTGTAATTCCCGAAACGTTCGAAACTTTCCAAATGCTTAAGTGAGAGGAACTTCAAATTTTTTAAAACAATCGTTCTATCTTTTCCTGTGCCATCTCCCTCATTTTCTACCACTTCTATCATCATTTTGCATGCTGATATTTTCAGTTCTCTCAATTGCTCCAAGCTTTTGGCTGTTGAAGATGTCACTAAGTTGATCAATCTATTGCAACGCTTTACCTTCAGTTCTGTTAGATTCTGGAAAGTTATAGAGAAGCAAGCTAGATTAATCAATTTGTCACACCCATCTACTTGTAGAACTTCAAGATTTTGAAGACCAGAAAGACTCGTTTTCATTGATGATGCTGTCCCAATATGTTTCTCAGCTTCCAAAAATTTAAATCTTTGAAAGATTCCAAGTGGAACACTTGTTGATTCATCATCATGCTCGACCCGAAGAGCTTTAAGACTGCAAAAGTGGTCGTGAGGAAATTGGCCTTGCCATATCATCTTGCATTCCATTTCGCTCAATTTCAATGTCTCCAAATTGGGATTAATCTACAAATCAGTCACACAAAATCAGGTTGGAGCGGATATTCCTTCAACCAATTTCAAGGAATATATAGTCATTTTTTTTTTCAAATTTATTTTCAATAAGAAATAGAAAAGAGATTCATACCTTTTCAAACAAGAAGAAGGGTTGTTGCCCTGAAATGTCAAGTTGGCCTTCACTATTTTTTGTATTGAATATCTTTACTTTGTCACAATAACATACTACCAACTCCTTTAACATTGGCCATTCAGAAGTATGTTCTCCAGGGTAGAAAATTTCTAGTTCTGGTAGCCATTTAAGACTCAAGAACGTTACTCGCGGAAAGATAAACTTAGCAGCTTCTCCTTCTCTTTCACCTTTATCAACAATCACCTTTAAAGATTTACATTTGAATATCTCAAGGCATTGGAGCTGCTCAAAGCTTGTGACCATAGAAGATGGGAAAACATACTTTAGTTTATTGCAACCCCACACATTCAAGCGCGTTAAATTTTTATAATCAGAAGACATTAATGTCGAACATTGGCAGTCCCAAATCTTTTCAGAATTAATTTCTCTCAATTCCAATGCCTCCAGATTGGGGAAAACAACCTGCAGTAAAAGTTAATTTTCAATTCAATATTTTTTCAAATATATACATATACACTAAAATCTAAAATCTAAAATCTCTAGACTTTTATGTTACGTTGCCATCCCACCTAAAAGAAGGGCTCAACATTATATTAGTCCACTAGGCCTTAGTTATCATCCCACGTAAAAGTTTAAGCTAATAGTTGAGGACTCAACATTATATTGATCTAATACTTGAAACTCATGCATGTAAGATTTTATATTAAGAGTTATATATGTGGGATTCTTCTTTCTCCTTTTTTCGCTGAGGAATTTAATTTTGTATATATGTTAACAAATGAAAATTGTAACCATGAAAAAATTAGAATACATATAGACTAGAATATATAAGGTTATTGTCAATCAAACCTTTATGTCGAAAAGTGGCATGAGAGTATCATTAAGCTTATCCTTTTGTCTCTCTTGCAATGTCGATGGTTTCTTTCCTTCTGAACAGATGCTCGTAAGCTGTGGAAGAGATTTGAGGGTCAAATGGTGTAATTGAGAACATTCAAGTACTTCATTGCTGTTGTTGTTGTTATCTTCTCTTTCATTGGAAAAAATCTCTTTTAAATTCTTGCAATCATCCACACTCATCATTTCAAGTTTTGGAAGGACTCTAGCATAGGAGAATGAGAAGATATTTTCCAATTTATTACAACTTTCCACAAGTACGATCTTTAAGTTGCCCAAAGAATTTGTTGTGGGATGACCACGAAATATGTTCTGCAACTTACTCAAATTGAAAAGATATAGCATCTCCAAGTTGGGGAAGGCATCATGAGCTATGTTCTTTGTTGAGTCAACAATGCATGAAACGTTAGGATTATTGTGGACATGGAGATGTTTCAATTGCGAAAACCCCTGATTGTCTAATTCATAAAGAACATTCTTGACACCTTTCACATATCCTATGCATAAGACTTCAACATTCTTGAAGCATTCCAATTCCCTTGACCTAATGATAGAATTACGCTGGATCAATTTCAACATTCTTAAAGTCTCATGCACATCAAAGAGCTTCTTGTAATCCCATTTTCCAAATCTGCACAATATACAATCATTAAAATCATCCTTTCCTATGGATATATTGTACCTTTTCAGCTTTCGGGAAGACGAGCATTTTGGAAAGATTTTGCTATCTTTAATGTATATATCTAAAGTGGTGAGATTAGGCAAATGATTCAACTCATCAAGGCTAGCTTTACTGCTTTTAAAATTGAGTATTCCTTTATTCTCCCATTGAACAGCGCATCCTCTCATGTATAATTCTTCCAATCTGAATAATTTTGATATCACATTTGGTGCAATAACTTCTAGTTCATGACAATCCCTTAAATCTAATAACCTTAATTGAGACAATTGGCCTATTTGTTCAGGCAATTGCTTAACATTTGAACCTCGTAAGCTAAGAACTTTTAATTTCTCTAGCTTTCCAATAATCACCACATCTTCGAAGTTACTATAATCCAGACACAATGTTTGAAGGTATTCTAAAAGATGCAATGATGATTGCAACGAGGAAATCTGCATTCTAGTCAATTCTAAAACTTTGAGCTTGGTCATCCCTTTGAAAAAGTTCTCAGGGATTTCAACATGAGAATCGCCAACCTTTGTATTCATAAAGAAAGACTCAAGTTCCGGACATTCCAATCCTTCATGAAGCTCACTAATAGTGCTGTCACGTATAAAGATCATTTTGCAAATTTTTAGTCTATCACAACTAGGCCATTCTCCCTCAATCTCATTTCTCATAGAAAAGACATGGTTGTCTCGATTTGCAATGGATAAAGCAACTTCACGAACAAAGTCATGCATTGAAAATGATTCGTTGGTTTGATCATTAATCAACAAACCAGAATCTTTAAGATCATTGATCAATGTATATACTCTATTTCGTGCTTCTGCTATCTTATAAATGGCTTCAAATGTATCCAAACCCAATACATATTTGACCAAGTCTAAAATGGAACATTGATGTCTCATTAGACTGCAGAGCAAAAAAGTTCTCTTCAGTTCCTCACCACTTAAGCAATTGTAACTCAATTCTATTGATAAATATGCCATTTTTAGAGGTCCTGTTAAGTTTGTTGATGAAGACCTGTTCAATTGTAGCAAAGCATCTTCAAAATCACGTAGATCTCTCTTATTCTTTAATGCTTTTGCCACAGTAACAATGGCAATAGGCAAACATCCACATTTCTTACATATGTCGTTCACCAAAGATTTCAACTTATCACTTGTTTCAGTAAAATCACCTATAGGGAAATAGGATCACAATATTTAATGGACAAAAATAAAAATTTTCATAAAGTAGAGCAATTTAGAGTCCTTTAAGAACTTTCAACAAATTTATTTTGAAATTTCTTTTAACATATAAACAAGACAAATTAGGTCTATTGATGAAATATAAATTTTGAATGTTTCTAATAGCATAACTGAAAACAATATTATAAAACACATATTAGGAAAATCCATACTATATCTGTAGTATTGTAGACTGGTTTTGATATTTATTAGTCTAATATATGTTGAGCCTTCAACTACTAACCTAATCTTTTAGGTGGAATGCCAACCTAACAATATTGATAATATGTTCAGAATTTCATTCTACTTGCAATCTTATTTTAACATTACATATAGGGATGGCAACAGGGCGGGGTTCTCATCCGGGTACCCGGATCCTAGTTCCAGGTCCGATTCTGGTTCCTAACACTAGTGGAACCAAAACCAGACCCGCATAGTACCAGTTCCACCTAATAGGGAACCAGAACCGAACCAGGACCCCACGTAACTGCTGGTTCCGGTTCTACCCTAATTTCTTGCACACCCCTAATTGGTGTAGCCAGGATTTGGATCTTGGGGTAGCTAGTTTGTAACAATTTTTATATTTAGCTCATGAGATATATTAGTATAAAATAAGTTCAATTACTATGTAGCTCTCAAATCCTATTATCAACTACTGTGGTTCCTATAATACTTCGAGATTTTAGAAACTAGAGCTATTTAGAATTGACAATAATATGAATACTTCCAACCTTTGGCTGCTTTTTGTTTTTCAACCTTATGTCCCAGAAATTATCTTTAAGATTATCTTTACACTTTTGTAAACTATTTTCTTATGTTAGTTTGCTCTAATAAAACAACACAAGTTTAAGAAGAAACAAGAACCTACTCATAAACTATTGGAACTTATATATAATTTTACATTCAATAAAGATATAATATGATATAAACAACATATAAACAATTACATATAACCTCTTAGAAAACTAATTAAGCCACCTTCTATCAAGTAAATTACATAAAATCCTGTAGCAAACTACGTTCAACTACCTTTGGTTAGGATTTCAATTAAGAAATAAATTATTATTCTAGATATCTAAGGAGAAAATGCGATAAACATAATATTTTTAGATGCAGATTTCCTATTTTGAATTTTTTTTTATAAAATTTTAAAATACAGATAAAAAGATTTGATTGATTCTAAATAAAATTAGCAAGAAAATATTTAAGGAAACATGAAAGTGAGATTACCTATTGTGTTCTTGAACAACCTCCAACTTTCTTCTTCACTTAAAACGCCAATCTCAACAACTTTAGAACCCATCCTCACCAACACATCTCGCTTTCTTGTAGTCAACAATAATTTACATTTCCCATTATCACCTCCTTCAGGAATTCCTATACTCTTCAAATCAATCTCTTCCCAAACATTATCTAAAATAATCAGGATCTTCTCCTCCTTTTTCTTCTCCATCTCCTCCTTCCTCTTCTCTTTCTCCTCCTTCTTCTTCTTCTTCTCGTTCTCCTCCTCGTTCTTCTCCTTGCTTTTAGTCAATCGAGCATACAACTTATTTCTCATTTCAGTCTCATTGTTGAATCGAAGACCTAAATGATCTCCAAGTTCTTTCTGAATCTTTTTTTCGTCTACCGTCTGAGTTACTTCTACAAAAACCACCTCATTAAACAGCTTCTCTTCCTTCACTTGCCGACCAACTGCTGTAGCTAGCATTGTCTTGCCGACTCCAGGCATCCCATTAATCCCTAACATATAAAGATTATTATCATTCAACGCGTTCACTATCTCCTTCAAAGCGGACTCCCTGGATTGGAAAGGATCGTAGTCTTTGTCAGCTGCAAGCGATCTGTCCTCCAGAATAATAGCGGGATAGGAGACACTAACCATGTCCTTTTTCTCCTGCAAGAGTTCAGGAATCTTGTCCTCCGTTAATTTGAATGCTTTCTTACTATGTTTGTAGCGGGTGATGAAGTCAGGATTGGAAGAGCTGTTGTTTTTTTGTTCAACCAAATTCTCAGCTTCATCAATGATTGAATTCGCCTTCTCCTGCCATACCTTAGCACTGTGTTTGATCTTTTCCATATTTTTTTCGGCAGCATCCACATTCCCCTTCAATTCTTCTCTTGCATCCTTCAGCTTCCAAACTTCTTTTTCCAGTTTCTCCAAGTTGCTCTTGTAGTTGAATGCGTACTTAATTTGACGCCCAATCGGATAAGCTATCCACTTGCCCACAGGGGCAACAGCACTCACGATACTGGCAATATTTCCGGCAGGTTCCACCATCTTCAATTTCGTTTCCTTTCTCTTTCACTTCCCTTTCAAGTTCAAAAGCTAGAAGAGAATACACAAACTGAATCAACTAGTGATGGACAGAAGTATGAATGAGAACAACAAGGAAACAATAGCCAAGTATTAATTTTCTTGATTTGAAAGAATCAGAGATGATAACCCATGAAGTTACTTTGGAATGTGAAATTTCTTGGAATCAAATAAAAGAAGTGATGAGTGGGAGAGGGAAAGAAGAAAGCATATGTTTTGTTGATGTAAAGTGAAGACAGCATTTAGACAAAAGCAAAAACAAAAACTCAAAAAGATTGCAATCAACAATCCAAACAATGGAACATAAGCGACAAAATGCAATGAGCTGTGAAGCAGAAAAGTTATGCTGATGGTTTAGGGACAGATATCGTTTTTGTTCCTGAATGTAGATAAGTCAAGGCCATGATTGAGGAAGAAATAAACTAAAATAATAAAATTTTATAGAGGGATCATCATTCAAAGACATTTTAATTTTAAACTTAAGAAAAATCACGTAAGTGTTATATAAATCAATAAACATATTGTTCCAATTAGGAAATCCTCAGTAATTAAAAATTTAAAATTTTAGAACATCCAAAGTATCAAGCCTCTTACAATAATGTTAAGCAATCAATATATTTTGATTAATAATTTTATTTTTAAGAACCCAAATATTGAAAGTTTTTAATTATAAAAAATTTTACTACAACATTGCTCATTGCACATCTGTTTTTGGGGAAGACTTTCTTATTGAAATGAGGATTAATTTTATTCTCTCTAATTTGTGCTTAATTTATTTATTTACATTGAATTATACACGTGTATAATTGAAAGGGATATTATCCTTGAGGGTACACGTATAAATACCCTTAAAATTTAAAAACAAAATTAAATAAACAAATTATTTTGACTAATCAATAGTATTTATATGATAAATTTATAAGTCTCTTATTCTTCTTTCATTCTATCACTGTGATTAATCAATTTGTAACCTTTCCAGGATGAAGTTTCTTACAGATCTTCAAGAAAGACATTTTATTGTTTAGTGTGTAATAAACTCCAAACTTGTAAAATTATCCATAAATTGTTGCATCTTACATTTCATCAAAAATCAATCTCAATCAAAACAATCCAAAAATCATGTCATAATTCACAATAATATGTCAAAAATACTGTTGTTGGTATAGTACTGAATTGAACATGTATTAATATAATAAATAAATTCAATATTCACCAATAACCACTTTTAAATAATTAAGATTAGTAAGTTGCATCTTAGTTTGAAGTATTGACTAAAAACAAAAAAATTGGATCTCATACCTTTCCCCCCTAGAAGGGGACAACACCAATATGGCTTTAAGCCAAAGTAGAAAAAGGGTGCAGATGAGTAGAATTATTCTTTGAGAATTAGTAAGTTGCATCTTAGTTTGAAGTATCGAATAAAAACAAAAAAATTGGATCTCATACCTTTCCCCCCTAGAAGGGGATGACACCGATATGGCTTTAAGCCAAAGTAGAAAAAGCGTGCAGATGAGTAGAATTATTCTTTGAGAATTAGTAAGTTGCATCTTAGTTTGAAGTATTGAATAAAAACAAAAAAATAGGATCTCATGCCTTTCCCCCTAGAAAGGGACGACACCAATATGGCTTTAAGCCAGAGTAGAAAAAGGGTGCAGACGAGTAGAATTATTCTTATCAGCTTTTGATAAAAACATTCAAATATTGTAATTTGTGATATGACTGACATAATATGAATACTGACCTGTTCTCAAAGCGCAAAACTGTAATAGTAACTTATTGTGGCGAATACAGCTGAAAAAAGACAAGGCAAATTGAGATTATAAGCAGATTGTCAACAATAGTACTTAGATTATTTTGAAAGGCAAAATTAATTCACCTGCTCTAAAATATGAATAATATGATTGTCTCCATTTCCATCAAGAATCAACCTAACAGCATTAACTTTAAGCAGAAATAGAAAGCACCTGCAAAATAGTTTTATAAAACGTTTACAAGCTTTCAAATGGCCAAATGTTCATTTATATCATGATAAAGTTGAAACAGGCATAATTGGAGATCAAAAGATCACTTAAATTGATTCTGGAGAGAAGCATTATGCATATGTTTTTTTTTAAATTAAAACGCTTGGGTAACGAAGTAGCTGAAGGTTAAACACTTTTTTTTAAATTTAATTTCTTAAAGCATTTTTAGGTGCTTTCGCAAATAGTAATTTTTGTAAAAAGCACTTCATACAGAACCTTCTCATCACTAGATTCCTGAAATTTCCTCATCAAATCACTGTTTTCTAAAATACTTTATGAATAACCACTTTGAACCTACAAGGGCTTTTACAAAGAGAAATTTTACTCAAAAGCACAGCCTACGCAAGCACTCTCAATTAATGCACCCTGAAACCATACTCACTCATCACTAAAATCCTGAAATTCCCTCATTAGAATGCTATAGTTTTGCTCAATTTCAAAACAACATAAACATGGGATCAAAACAACAGGCACAAATACCAAAATCAAAACAACTAATGCAGTGGAGATTAATTATCCACAATGTCATTTTAATGAATGTGTTTAATGAATGTGGTTAAACATTGTTTTAGCCAAAAAAAAAAAACTAGGGGTTTTTATTTTCTACCCCCTAAGAGATGAGGAAGTTTTAAACGCCACCAGATTTTGCGAAAGCATTATGTACCTTCCTAGATTATCATTTACCCCTTTAAGAATATCATTTACACCTTCATAAAGTATCAAAAAACCCTCTGATATGGGGATATATAATACTTTTCAAAAACCATTGGGCGTGTAAACCTTCCTCATGTCTTTTTTTTTTTTTTTTTTTTTTGGGGGGGGGGGGGGGGGGGGGGGGTGTGGATGGCGTGTGTTGTGGTTGTGGGAAATAAAAACCTCAAAAGAAGCTTTAGAATAAGAACTATAATATTTTCCTTGTGAAAGAACCTATTGGATTAATATAAAGTTGAGCTCTCACCTACTAGCTTAAGCTTTTAAGTGGGATGACAACTTAATATAGTATCAAAGCCAAATGTCTAAAATTTGAATCCCCCATCCAACTGGATCAAAGGAAATGAAAAAATCTTAGTTATGTTGAGTCCTCGCATACCACTTTAACCTTTTAGGTGGGATGGCAACATAATTAGTGATGTCAAATGAAAAACATATGGCAACTTAAAAATCAGTGATGTCAGATGAAAAACATTAACAAAAAAAAAATAAGAAAAAGAAAAACTTATACCTTAACCTTTAGGTGTATGGATCTCCGATCGGGAAACCGTGTCCAAGCTCCGTGGCTAGTCTGCGTTCTCTCAACTTAACAATCAATGATGTCAAATGAAAAACATTAACCACAAAAAAAAAACCTATGATAATCGGTGATGTCAAATGAAAAACATATGGCAACTTAACAGTCAAGAACTTGCCAACTGGGAGAACAGCACTCACCATACTCGCAATTAAGTAGGACCAGAGAGGTTTTTTTTTTTTTTTTTCAAATGAGAATTGAGGGAATGGGATGGAGATTTCTTGCTTCGGTTGAGTTTAAGCTAGGGACTTGTAAGAGAAAATGGGAAAGAGTAATGCTACGAAATATAATTGAGTTTATCTGGGAGAGACTCCTTGCTTCGGTTGAGTTTCAGCTTAGGATTTGATAAGAGAAAATGGAATAAGTTATTTACGAAATTTAATTTAGCTTATTTGGGGGAAATTCTTTACTTCGGTTGAGTTTTAGTAAGGGATAAAGAGAAAAGGGAAAAGAGTGATGCTTCATTTAGTTTATTTGGGAGAGATTCCTTACCCTGATTTAAGCTTCTTTTTTTAAAAAAAAAAATAAAACCAGAAAACTGCACCAAGGTTTATATTTATAAATGCCAGCAACTATCTGAAAACACAATTCTACAGAAATCAAACAGAATAGGAACCAGAAGGTTGCAAATTCATTAACTAAAAACAGGTAATCTGTTTTCCTTTCAAACTGTAATGAAGAAAAGTTCTAAACCTCGTCCGCTAAGCTTAATTAGTGTTGTACTCCCAACCTCAGATCTAACTTTAAACTCTAGCCCTCTTGCTACTGCAACTGGGGCACTTGTACTGCTTCATATGCTCGGCCTTTGCAGGGGTCATCTTTACGCATTT